GCGAAATGCAGCCCGCGCCGGTGGCGGAGGAAAAGCTAAGATTTGCCACCGGAGCTTTTAAAGCCGGGCGGGCACCAAGATTTTGACCGCTGTTTAGAAAAATCCACCACTTTCCTTCCCATTAATCTTGGGTAAGGAAGGAGTTCAGACTGCACCTGTATAAACAATCCTCCGAGAAGTGGAAGGGGGCGGCGTGCTAGGAGAGGGGAGAGAACCGGCCTGCCCCTCCGACGGGTGGGTGAGATGGATAGTCCAGGGGCGCGGCTGAAGTAACGGGCTAGGCAACGCCGCCAAACCACCTGCTTGGGAGAAAACGAGAGGCGCGGGTGGGGGCGTGGGGTGGAGGCCCGGTGTCAGCCCAAGTTCAGCGCCTTTCGAGGTGTGCCAGCTTCGAAGGCATCCGTGTTGCAGAGCGCCCACCCATTGGCTTTGGGAAAGGATTGGACGCGGAAAGGGAGGAAGGGAGGAAGGGGCGGGCGGGGGAGTGGGAGAGGGAGAGAAGATGGGAAGGGAACGGGCCAGGAGGGAGGTCCTTCCCTGTTCTGCAAGTCTTGGCCCAAAAGCTGCATTGTTTTTTTCCCCCCAGTCCAAAGCCCATCTCACCCCCGTTTCCCGAGACAACAGGTTGCAAACAAAGGCTTGGGAGAAAAGAAGCGCGGTGTTTTTGTTGTTGCTGGGTTTTTCCTTCTCTCTCTCTCTCTCAACAGACTTACCAGCTTGCGGGAAACTGTGCCCGGGAACAGCCGGGGGTTGGGGGTGGAAATGGTGCCAAGCAGGCTTGTCTGGTGGGAAGAGGAACGGAACGAAAAGATTGCAGATGCCGGAATCCTGAAGGGCCGCGACGTCCACCTGCTGCAGCCATCAGGGCTTTCCCTCCCCCCCCCTCGCCAGCCCCTTTCTATCCCAGAGACGGTGGCTCAGCCAAGGAAAGTGGGCGACCTGCCCCCTTCCTCGCTCAGACTTCTCCTTGGGAGAAAACCCCGCTCTGACGAGGTGCTGTTTTGGTTCAGAGCTCTCCAACTCCCCTTGCCGACCTGGCCGAGGGCCGTCTTGGCTGGGGGATTTTGGGACCTGTAGTCCCCTCCAAGTTCCTTTCCCGACCCTATCCACTTGTGCTCAGAAGGAGTTCCCACGGATCCAGCAGGATTTGCTGCCTGGATTTGAGCAGTTCGGGTTCGGCTCTGAGCCTGCCTGGCAAAGGGGAAGGACGCCTCGCGGACTGCAGATGGAGAGGCTCACTTGCGTGCAAGGCTCCACTGCTTAACTTAGTTGGCACTAAGGAAAACACTGGACGCAGACGAAGGCTCGCTCTCTTTCCAAGTAAAATAGACAGCGCTGTCTTTTCTTCTCTGGAGTTGGCCAGTTTTCTACCTTTGCCAACCCCAATTCCAGATTTAGTCTTATCTATATTTTGCTGTTATGTGTTATCAAGTCGCCTCCAAATTATGGCAACCCTCATAGAGTTTTTAAGTTAGGTCAGATGTTTAATGAAGAGTTTTACCCGTGCCACTTCCCAAACGAGTTTCTGTGGCAGATCAGCGATTCAACCCATGTCTCTGAAGTCCTTGTCCTTCACGCTATCTGATGCACATTCAAGCCAATGGACTGGATCTACTGTACCCCTGGAGCACACCCACTGACATCAAGAGGATTTAAGTTGGTCATGATTCTTGCATTATCATCAACTTGTCATTTATTTAAATAGATCTAGTCTAAGTACCACTCTAAGTACCAAATCTAAATCCAATCTAGTGGTTGGAATTTCATCACCATCACCATCTTAGAACTGCAGAGCTGGAAGGGCCCCTATGGATCTTCCTAGTGTGCCTCCAGCTTCTGTCAAGGAGGCACACTAGGGAATTGAACACCTAGCCTTGAGGATAAGGCCATAAACCTGGGGTTGCACTACTTTCTGCTGCTTGAAATTGCAAAGTGTGAATGGGATATGAATTTCACGTAAATAAAAAAATATGCAGCCACTATGTACACAAATATTATACTCTTGAATCAATAAAATCTATGGTTTTTGCTTAAATAGGTAGTGAGAAATAGTCAGTGTAGTGTAGTGTAGTGTAGCGTAGTGTAGTGTAGTGTAGTGCATAGAATGTCAGACTGGGGCCCACAAAACTTCGGTTGAAATCTCCTTTGGGCCTTGGAATCTCACTGGGGGGTTACTGGCAAACCACCCTTTAAATTTTTCATATACTGTACTTCAGAAACTATTCAGGTCGATGAAAATCAGCATCCACTTGATGCTACATAACACACACAGGTTGCTAAGATTTTGAAACACAGGTCCTAGAAATCAGCAGTTTTAAAATAATCTTCAAGTAAATCTATTTCTTATACTGTCCTGTTATAAGGACTAAAGTCCAGCACTAAAGATCCTATCAATTCTCCATCCAGGCAAGATCATTCCAGAAATCAGCTGATGGATGTCCCAGGATGGTCCTTCTCTGTGGTGGCTCTAGCAAGTGATAGGAAGCCCTGTCTTAAGACGGCTGTCAGACCCTTTCTCTTCTTCACCTTAAGCAGTTTTTTCATCACAACAAACATTTGATTATTTGCTTCGGTTGCATCCAAATTGCAGTGAGCTGTTCTTTTTCCTGCATCCAGAGGGTTTTTATTGTATAGTATGATTTTTACTATTTTTAATAGAATAGTTTAACTCTTTATTAAAGACCCTCCTTCAACTGTTGAGGAAGAGAAGATAAATTGAAATAAACAAATTTATGTCCTGGTTCAGAAGTGGATTATACCGAAATGCTTTGATTCTCTCCATTGTTGCTGAGGCTCCACTTCATTTATGTGCTCAGTCACAGAATTAAAATTTTAAAAAAATTCAGACCAACTCAAAAATAGGAGAGAGATCCCAAATCTTCAATTATGGAGTGGGTTTTATGATGGGAGAAAAGAATTCTGCACCTTTAATGATCCCATTTTCTTCCTTTCTTCCATTCTTTTCCCCAAATTCCAGCACTCAGATATTGAGATGTATTTCCAAGATTCCAACAAGGGAAACACTGACATAATGGTGATGGAGATGAACTTTGGCTAAGGTTGATTCAAATTAGCTTTTGTGAAAAGTATTCTTTAAATGTCTGGGACTTCATTCTAAAGGCAGTGTTTCTGTTCTAGCAAAGTGAATAGACAATCATTGGCTGCATCATCAGATTGAACGTTTCTTTTTTCAATTGTTTTTCCTAACAATTGTTTTTTCTAACAGCAGAATTTACCTTCTGCCAATATACAGTTTGTGAGTTTCCAGTGTCCTCTTATTTTTAAGGGGAAAAAATTCTACTTGACTAAAACGAATGCCCCTGGAAGTCTACCTCCCCTTAAAAATTTGACAGGCTGAAATGAAAGGGGCTTATTTTAAAATAAACAGTTTAGGTTTCCGTGGTTTCACTCAGTTATTCCTATATAGGCTTTTAATTGCCCTCACTGGGCTGCCTATCTAATAAACTTCTCCCCACCCACTCTGTTTTTAGATACAAATCCAAGTTATCAAAATCCACGGCAGGTGCGAATCCGTTTAACAACCCGTCTATAATTTTACCTGAGTGACCACCAACTAGCAGTTAAAGGGTTTGTATGTGCGTGAGGGTTTCAGTTTTGTCTTTGATTTTACCTTCTTTAGAGCCATGTTAATTCAATGCACCAATGAAATTTGAGCGCAATGGATTCTTTCCCCCAAACCCGATCTTACTCACAGCTTATTAGGAAGTAAATCCCACCGATTTTAATGGGACTTAACTTCCGTCGCAAGTGACAGCGCAATTCCTAAAGCAAGTCCAAAAGCCAGTGGGTCGTATAGGGCGAAAAATTCACAAACCAGTGCACTTGAAACGATGTGGATTTTGCCTCCGATATTATCTCATGTGGACCAGTCATCTTGATCTTGAACACACTGCTTTGGATTTTTACTGGAATGTGTGTCCCTCAGGAGGGCAGAAAGATTGAGAGACCAGAGCAACATACTGCCACTTTTATAATAATGTGGGGTTTTCCTATGTATCATCTTAGCCACTGTGGGACACAGGACGCAGGACTAGTTACAGCCCTTTGATGTGATGCTGAAGGATTCTCATGTATTGCGGATTAAATTCATGTCTTTTCAAATCTCCTGGTAATTGTTTCGATCATATACGGTTCCTCACTGGGGTATCTCTTCTTCAAACGTTCGCATAGGATTGCAGCTGTTATCTGCACTGTGTATCTTCGGATATTTCACCGAGAAGAATATAACGGCTCCGCAACAGTGTGGACGTGGCACCCGTCGACGCTTCCCGTGATTACTCGTCCTCCACTAACTGTTTAAGGGACATCATGATGAGTTTGTGCATACAGTACACTCATCTCGATCCTATTCGTATGCACTGTGTTGTTGTTGCTTTAAAGTCGTGTCCGACTCTTCGTGACCCCAGGGACCAGAGCACCCCAGGCCCTCCTGTCTTCCACTGCCTCCCGGAGTTGGGTCAAATTCATTATGGTAGCTTCGGTGACACATGCACTGTGTACACAAGAACATCTCCTCAAGATTTTATTTGCTTAAAAAAACCAAACCGCAGGGTGCATCTCTTGAATACACTGGTCCATTAACTACATCCTCCCACCCCTCCAGGGCACCCATGGGGATACAGTATAAGCCTTCGAGCTTCAGGCGCTTTTTGCGCTTCCCACGCGCCTTTTCTTGAATTTAGCGCGCGCGCTCGCGCTCACCCTCGCTCCAGATGCGCACAGACCTTCTCGGGCAGGTCTCAAGAGCTATGGAAGGAGGGAGGGGGGGAGGCTCGACGCACGCAGAGCCCCCTGCGCGCCAGTCAGGCCGCGTCGTTACTGTGGGGCGTCTTCATTTTTGGTCCCCCTTCCCCCACGCAGATGGTTTGCCCCGCTTCCCCTTGGCACATATATATAGCTCTGTCCCCTCAAAGTCCGTCGGGCAGTTGCTTTGCGGCGAAGCGGCGAGCGTGTGAGGCGGGCCCGGTCTGGCCGCTGCGCCGCGCGCTTCCCCTCCCTCTCGCCTCCGGCGTCTGGGGGCGGGTCATGTCGACGGGCTCCCTGAGTGACGGCGAAGAGCTGCCGGAGATGGACCTGAGAGGGCTGCAGTTGGAATCCCCGGCGCTCTCCCGCTCCAAGCGGCGTCCCCGAGGCGAGCCTTGCCCCTCGGTGGGGAACTCCTCTGCCGCCGA